GTGTCGAGTTTTCGATCGAGCGCGATCCCCCGTGGAAAAACACGAAGTGAGAAGAAGAAATGGCGGATCCGTTTAACAAGGTGCTTCGCCTACCGGATAATACATAAGGGGTATTAAGGCCGCTACTCAATTGGGTATGAGCTCACCGAGAGGTGGACGTCTCAATTTTCTTCGCGACTTAATGACCGATCGTTAAAACCCGGCTTCGCCACGAACCGGCTCCGCGGCGCACGAGAAAGACCAAAGAGGAAACGAGACGAAGACAAGCCTCGGCCTCCTCTTCGTGCCACCGTTCTACCCACACCCCTGCCGCGCCGCTGCCTCGTCGTTCTAACGTAATCACGACCCTCCCCCCTAACCGCCCGAGCCCCCCTCTCGCGGAGTCGTAATGACGTTTATAAGTTTCGTGGTGCCTCCCGATTCTTCGACACGGTCCTTTACTTTTAACGGATACCAATAAGCGACGTGAATACTGTAATTGGCGACTACCGCGTGTACCTTTTAACTCATTGTCAGTGGAAATGTGTATCGGCGAGAGGTATGGCTATTAGGTCACTTCAGAAGTGTTGACTGACTAATTTCGTTTATAAAAGTGTTCTTTGGCTGGGTTAATTGAATCGTACGCTGATTGATGTTTGGTTAGAGGATTGTTGTACGCTGATGTTATTGGAAGAAATGTGGGAACTGGAATGAGTATGTACTTATGCAATTGTACTTCCTGGGTGATCTGTTTCTGTCAGTGTGTAAGAGCTTGGTAGGAAGTGATTTGATTACCTTGAGGATGCGAAGACTGTGAACAGCATTCTGTTGAAGATGTTTGCAGAATTTTCTTGGTATGGTCTGTAGTTTAGAGACTAATTTGTACTGGGAGTTTGTATCAATTGAATTGGAACTGTTTCGTATTTCGTACCGAAGATACCCTCTGGTGCACGTATTGTGAACCCTTTGCAGTGAAGACATTTAATGAGCTGTCGATATATTGGAATATTAGGTGCAGTATAAAATAGATCTATAGGAATTTTAATGTGGTATTAATGTAGTAGATAAGAATAGTATATCTCCAGACATTTTTCATGGTTTTGTCTAATGTACTGTGTAAATACCTGATAAGGATTGTTTTTTGTTTTGTAATTCTGCTGCCATCTATGGTAAAATGCTGAAGTTAGTCATCACATGCAGTCAGTACTGCAAATTATGGGATGTAAAACAGAATTGTTTTATTTCTATGTTCTACGTGTTAACACCTTATTCTACATTTTATATTGAATTTTTATTCTATAATTTTGTTGCTTTCAATCAAATGGCAGCTGAGAGTCGCTTCTCGAGTGCAAAGGTTAGTACAGCTTGTACAAGATGCTTCCTTATGCAAGCTGTAAATAATATTGTTAATAGTTCGTTAGAAAATAATGAATATTTATAATGAAAAATATTGTCGGGTGCAATAGGTTAATGAACGAACAACAAGAACTGAGTTAATTGGCTACAAGCTTGAGCATTTTGTGGCAGATGGCATCACTGAACAAAGGACAAGTCAAAGTGACAGTGTTCACCAGTCAAAGGTTAAGTAGAAATCTTCTGTAAAGAATATTGATTCTCCATTTGTTGTTTTTAAATGTCCAACGAATGTGATTGCGAGTCACGTGGTCAGAATCCGGCTGAACCGTCATTTCGTGACAATGGCTGCTCCGGTGAAAAAGCGAGATATTCAACGAAATACCGAGGATAGGAGTAGCGACGACGATGATCTGAATTCATCTAATAGCGAAGATGTTGAGCAAGATGCGGTAGGCGAACAGGTAAGGAGCAATTGATTTCTGTAACTCCTCGTAAGTAGTTATGACTTATACTTAACCTTACTTTCAAACACGCGGTCGTTGACTCATTTCTACTTTTTGTCATCATTTATAACATGTAAAGTTATTATACACTGATTTTGATAATCTAGAGTAGTTCGAAAATTAAAATATAGTATGTCGATGGAAAATCATTCACTGAACTGTCAGTGCAATTATTTTGGTTGTCATCGTGTGAAAGTTACTGGTAACAGTTTTTTTACAATAAAAAGAGATATTGTTTGTTTTAAAAGGATTGTCATTAAACATATGTGACAGTGACTTTTTAATGAAGCAGAATTAGTGCAAATGAAATGTGAATTATATATGTTAATGCATATTGTGGAATAAAGTTAAACACATGTTTAGATACAGTGTATTTAGTCAATTTGCAGTGAACCATGTATTGGGTGTATATATGCGTGGGTAAAATGTAGACTTTGTGTAACCAGGGAATGGAAATACAAGTTGACTTTGAAGGGAGAAATCCATTAGACCCAGACTACCATGGAATTAAGACACTTTTACAACAGTTATTTTTGAAAGCACATATTGACTTAGGTGGTCTCACTGACTTAATTATTTCTCAAAACTATGTGGGCTCAGTTGTTAAACAGTCAGATGATATAGAAGATTCAGATGACGAAGAAAACGACATTAATGATGTATTTGGTGTTACTACAGTAATTAATTTATCCAGTGGACAGGTATGTACCTAAAGATAGTGTGTTTCAAACATATTGTGTGTGCCAGTTTGTACTCACACATTAGGAATTTCTTTTAGAATCACCTTTGTATCCAGCAACTCAGAGAACTATTAACACAATTAGCCAATGAACATGCAACAGATGCAACTAATGCAATGATAAAACAAGTTCTTGAGAATGACTCCGATGCCTTAGGCCTATTAATTAATGAAAGATTTGTGAACATTCCAGCACAAATATCCGTACCACTTTTAGAAAACTTGACTTCTGAAATAAAAAGGGCGGCCAGCAAGAAGATGCCATTCAACTTTTCCTATTATGTACTGATTTGCAAATTGTATAAAACGGAAGACCAAAAGGTCGGGAAGAAATCAAAAAACAAGAAAAAGGTCAACGCGGAAGAACCGACGATTCTCTGGAGTAATCCGGAGGAAGAAATTTTCGCTGAAGAAGCGACATTTAGCTTTGAATTCTCCGTTGAGAAGGAATCAGACAGTGGTCTATCTGGCACATGGACTGAAACAGATAACGAAATGGTTCCTTACAGGAGGGTCCTCCTGTTCGAAGCAACCAAATTACAGCAAATTATTGATAAAATAAAAGTTCATGTGTCCTTCTTGTAAAATAAAACTATAACGTTAATCCAAAGGACTAACAAAGATTCCTGTACTCCTCAAAGATAAGAAAAGTCCTTCCTTTGTCACTTTAAAGGAAGGCGGACGCTTCTCAAAAATAACATCTTTGATATCTTTTGTACAATGAACTGTACCGTATATATACAGTACATGTAACCAGCTTTTTATAATACACCTTTTTTCATAATGCTTACTGCAATCTGTTTCCATCACTTCTCCCTTAACCATCTTTTATTCGCTTCTTTATACACATGTATATATAAAAATACGTAAGCCTATATAGTATACTAGATGGTAAAAAAAAAGAAAAAAGAAAACAGAAAAAGAAAGTTCATTTTACGACTAAATAAATAACGTCATGTTAAACCGTTGGTTTCGTAGAACAGATCTTTGATTAAAAGAATGCAATGTATTAACAGCGATACACGTGGCGCACTTGAGACTCATAGTACCTTTGCACAATTATTAACAATATCGTATTTTATGTGGGCGCGTCTGTAGATTGCAAAGACTGCTTTACCGGCTTGGCTCTTCTTCTCATGGTGCCCAGAATGTTTAACATTTCGGAGACCGCTGGTGGTGCGCTTTCCGCTTCCTGTCGTCGTCTCCTTTGCTCTTCTCTTTGTTTCTACGACGAATCGGAATACCAACGATTATCGTCAAATCATAATCACCCGGGAAAACAGAAAAAGAACAAAATTAATTCTATGCTTACGTCCGTTTGCTTCAAAGTAAATCGTCCACCTTTTATCTGGTTGATGATGTCATCGATGGCTGAAACAGTTTCGAGCGCAAAGTTACTTAAGTTACTTACACCGATACATTTTGTTATTAACAAACCATTGGAATTCAAAACTCAAGTTACCCGGTTGTTGAGCAACTGTCGGTGTTTTCTTAGCGATCCCAAGCATGTTCTCCATGTCGGCCACAGCGTTGCGTTCCGAATTCGCTTTTTCCTTCGTCAGCAATTTGATCGACGATTGAGCGCCATTGCTAAACATCGGTGGCGGCGGTGGTGGCGGCAATGGTGGCGGCGGTGGCCTAGAAAGTTTCTCCTCCATCTCGCTGATCTTTGTCTTAAGACTTTCCACCACACCTTCCAGACTTTCCACCAATTTCTCGGCCCTCTCCGCCCTCTCGGTCGCCACTTCCAACTCGGACTCCGCTAACTTCAGCTTCTCTTCCACTATTTCGAACTCCACGTTCGATTCTTTCTCCTCCAGCTTCTCCTCAAGCATCTGTATACGAGACGCGTGGTTCTGTTGCTCCTCTTCCAACAGTCTCTTCAGTGATTCCACTTCTTGGAGAACGGTCAACAGTCTTCCGTTCGGGTCATCGCCGACTTCGGCCATCAACAGCGCGCTTTGGTGGGCCAACACGTTCCTCTCTTTCTGTACCTGTTACAAATACGATCGTTGGTTCGACAAGTGTTCCCCGATGTTTCGAAGTGAACGTATTTTCGAAATAAAATTGATTTGAACGTTGCATTTACCCTCTCCGCTTCTATCTTTATGATCTTCGCGTTCTCCCGTTCGCGATCGCATTGCACCTTCAACGCCTGCACTTCCTCCGCCACCATTTTCGTCACTCTCTCCATGTTCTCCTTCTGCACCTTCATTTCGTTTACCTTCTGCTCGTCTGCGTTGAAACATTCATTATTAAATTTACGTTTACTTCTTACACCGAAACTCCGCAGATGTTGAACACTCGAGACTCGAGCGTCACAAGGAATTCCATTTAATTCGTATTTTCGGGAACCCGAAGAGAAACTGTAGAGAGACTGGAGTTACATACATTTTTGCCTGAGAGTCCTCTCTTCGTCCAGCTGAGTCGTCAAATGCGTCACTTGCTCCTGCGCTTCGAATTCTTGAAGTCTGGCGGAGTGCAGTTCCGTCTGAAGCCTGGCGATGTCTTTGCTCAATTCTGGAAGCCACGGATTCATTGGAGAGCCGCCAACATCGATAAAATTATAAAATACAAATCTCTATGTACCCTTCACGGTCTCCCGCAATTGATCGACATCTTCGAAGTTGTTGTCGACCTCGTCCGACAGCTCGATGTCCAAGGATCCCTCGGAATTTCCTTGCATGAGCTTCTGCGTTATGATCTGGGACCTTCGTTTCAGTTCACGATTCTGCCTGTACCACTGAGAGAAAAGAATTTCAGTCGTTGATAAATCACGGACGCGATAGCAACAGAAAACGGATCTATTGTTTCGAATCTACCTGCGACGCTTGTTGCATAGCTTTATGCATAGCGCCCGTTTCGACGTCGTACTGATGCTTCAGTTGCTCGTATTCTTTGCACACCGCCTCGGAAACTGCACGAAGGACATACAATTAAATCGGAACAGCCGGAATTAACGCTGGAAATTCGTGTAATTTAGAAAAATCGATGTACCCGTGCGCAGCTTCTGCAGCTTTTGTTCCTTCTCTTGGACCTGCGTCTGCAGAGTGCTGTTCTGCCTCTGCAGCTGCTGGAATTTCTTCTCCAAGTCGGCATGGTCCTTGTTCGCTGTAATTTCAGGACGACATTCGGCGAGATTGTTCGTTTGCAGACGCGGCGCGCATACCTAGAGACAACCATCTCGCCGGGCGACATTTAATTCCGATCGATTTATAATACTATCGCGTACGCGCGCTGACTAATCAAACGTCACTGCGTTCATTTCGCATGCAAAGAGTGAATCACGACCGAATAATGGTCAAGTTGCATTACGGACGATTGGCCGTGAACTATAATCACGCATCAGCCACTTCCCTTTCGCTGTGTATCCTCGTCGACGCCTCTGCCGCTTTACGTAAGTCTATTACAGACACCTATTGCCGATCTCGCAATAACAGATCGACAGATCGCGTCTAGCTCGCCGAGGAAGCCGATTCTCGACTGGAAACAGGAAAAATAGAAAAATTCACAATATTCGCGACGAACGATTTGGCACGTCCCCAAAGTTAGGACATCGACAATACGACAGACGTACGGACCTATAGCTCGCTCTAATCTTTTTGTTCAGCTCGTAACGAAAAGAACTGTAGGCGGAGCGAATCGCCTACGACGCTGACACAAAGTAAGCCAGCCCACGATCTGTACCATTCGAAAATAAAAAGATACATCGCTGAGGATGATTTGATCGATGGCGGCGGAACGTCTCGACAGTATCTGGTACATAACTCTCAATCAAAAGAGATGTTCCGTACATATAATTATCTTCTACCATCGTATCATCTCGTCACCGCGAAAACCATAAACTCCAAGCAGTAAACAATTAACCCGACCGACCGAATAATTTCCATTGAACCGTCGACGCGAGTACCAACGGTATAACACGGTATTCGCGAGATTTCAGCGAAAGATGCGTCGACGCAGGGAAAGAGGTTGCGGCGACCGCCGGCTCCGTTCCATATTTACCCGGCTCTCCATATCGCGCAGCTGTTTAATCGAATTAATGCTCGTCTCGACCGAAGGGGGGTAAAGATAAGATCGCGGTGGGCAGGAGAGAAAGAGGAACGTTTCGTCACCGCGTTAACGACGGCTAATGGAGCGACGATAAAATTCCTAAATTGACTTCGGCCCGGCGAGATGGTCTCGGGGGGACGCGTTGATCACGCCCGCGACATTTTTCTCGCGAATCGCTAATTACCGGCCTCGTTCTTCTGCAACAGCAATTTCCGCCGTTTCTCGGACTCCTCGTACTTGCTCTTCCATTTGCTCTCGAGACTGTTGCTGCGGTTCAATTTGGCCAGGCTGCCGGCCAGCTCGTTCGTCTTCCAGTTGGCGACCGGCTGCCTCTCCTCGCCGGTGTTCCGCATCTCGATGCTGGAGGCCGATAGATTGTTGTTCCTCGGCCGCAGCTGAACCACGGAAGCGTCCAGCTTCTCGAAGGACGCCTTTTGAGCGGCCACCGAGACGCCTCTGGACAGTTTCTCGAAGGATCCGCGCCGCGGCGGAGGACATCTCTCCTGCGCCTTGATCGCGCTCGGTATCCTCGGCACCGGTATGTGCGAGTGAATTACGCCCGAGGACGCGCGGCCCGGCTCCGCGCTCAGGACGATCTTCAGCTCCGTTTTGTTCATGCCGGTTTCTGCGAACATAAGTGTGGCAATGCCCCTGTTAGCGGGCTATATGCGGCTCCCGTCCGGCTTCTCCTTTATTAATATCGTACGCGGCCCGTGAATGACGATCGCGCGGTTTTTCTACAGGATTCCCGCGGCTCCGTCTTCCACCCTTAACACGCGCTCACTGCCACGAGAAACTTGGGCGTTTCGTGTGCCCGTTCTTTCGCAGCGGAGATAGAGAGGAATGCTTATTTGATAATCGGATCTTTGAGTTACAGTATTATCTGTTTGCGCTTGTCGAGCATTTTTAGTCGACGCCAGTTATATTGCGAATTGTGGGTGTTTTTCGGTAATTGGATGTTTCTGTTATCGGCGATCGTTATGACAGTCAACGCGTTAAGATGTAGACACACCGGTAATCCGCGGGAATTTTTCTGGTAGGGATTTGCAGTGTTTGCACTCCTATTTTCTCTTAATTACCGTCTTAAGTGAATCACTTGACGTACGATTGTATCTCGTTGCACACGAGTGATCGTAAATCATACAATGTTTCATAGAATTTGTTACAGTTTCATATAATTTTCGTAGAGGAAAGAGTGGAAATCAGCGCGCGGGAGAAATAACTGAGAGTGATCTCTATATTGGCTCTGAGATTCTTAAAAACAACTTCTTAATAATTGCCAGTGAGTAATCAACGTCGGTACGATTAGATTGCAGGGGCAATTAACCGGATAACGTGTATCGTGAATCATCGCTGTATTTCGATTCGCGGACGACTGCGAGCAGACGTTTCATCGGTGATTTACGAGGATCCAGAGCGGACCGGGACTTTCACGCTTCGCGCTCGATCATTTCAATAGCGTAACGAGAGAGTACTCGGTGAATGGTCCGAGCGCCTCTATATTTAGCCAAGAAAGGGTATTTCTATTGAAGTGTGCCCGAACGGCGAGGGGGGTTAATAACATCGGCGTTCCCTAAAAATAAGCGTATCGGTCGCACCCCCTGTAGCCGAGTCGCCGGGTTTAGAAATAGCCGTGCTGTCAAAACACGTATTCCGTGACTAATCTCGATTCCACGAATCTTAGGAATACTCGATTCCACGAATCTTAGGAATACTAAGCATCGCGATAAGCGTGCGTTCGAGCCGGCCGAACTTACCAGGAAACGATATGTGTTACTCGAACCGAGATCCCGAGTCCGGTTACCGCCGATTCCAGCCTTAGAGCCCCTTCTTCGAGCTACTACAAATACCAAACGGATGCGTCTCTCGAATTAAAGGCACACTACGAATCCACTAAACTATCGTTGACCCATTAACGCCTAATACGCTACCACTGAAACACTTTCACTTCGGTCTCAGTGTCCTTTCTAGAATATAGAAAACAATCGGAATTAATATCGAACGATCACTTCGACTTCGGCAACCGTATCGCTTCTCAAAGAAAACACGTTGAAGACAGATCCTCGCGACTGAGTCTTCAAAGACTTTCCACGGTCGATCTTTATACCCGAAACCCACGTATCGAGGGAACTTCCAAGTTCTCCTGTACATCAGCGGTTTCCAACCTTTACGCTACTACGCCTCCCTAAGAAAAATTTCTTCTTCCGTGCCTCCCTATCTTTTAATAGACACAATAATACAGACACGTTTTAAATAACTTCATTACAAAATAAACGTTACTTCACTGAGTTTGTACTGTTACGTTACGATACGAAGTTCATCGATTTGTGGATATTATGATATGAACATGAATTCTTTCTGAAAAATTTTGGCGCCTCCCCTAGCAATAGTCCGCGTCTCCCAGGTTGGAAACCGCGGCTCCCACGTTCAGCCGCTTCAAACGGATGATTCTTTCGTACAAACCAATGGTACAAGATAAAGGAACTACTTTCGGCGTTAATGCGTCAACGAAACACGCATCGAGGTGTCGTCTGCTTTGAATATTATTCCCACCGCGCGTCTCATCGCGTCTCGAATAACAGCTCCGCGGTACGGGCACTCGCGTTCCAACGTCGTTCACAATTTCCACGATTTCACACTGTCATCACTGTTTACGGCGACCGAGAGGGAAAGAGGAGTGTGCGCGTAGATCGGTGTCGGCCGCGAGACTACACACGTGGTCGGTCGGTCTTCGTGGGAGTCAGCCCGAGATCCGCCGCGGACAGTTCGACGCTAATTCGCTGGAATGTGTGCGTCACTGTCACGGAGAGGATGATCGTTAACGGGACCCCAGGCGACGTCATTCTGGAAAGTCTGACGTTTCGGCCACTTTCGCTGTAAGTTGTTGGATAAGGGCCAGAATAACGACTATGCGGATAGAAGAAGGCCTCCCCCTCGCCCCCACCGCCCCGCCGGACGGTCTGCACGCCAACGGAACCATCAACAACGCGCTTCGGAACTTTATCGCCGGCCTTAACTCGAATATCGATCTTAAATTCCTACTTGCTCCAGTTAAAGTGTCATTTGTCATGCAAATGGCACTTGTACCTATGGTTCCCTTCCGCTTATGACCCGCCATTAATCCTAGAAACACCCGCGGAGTGGCTTCACGAGCCCATCAATTCGTAACTTTAACGAACGCGTTGCTTCTCTTGGCTAGAATGTTTGGCGTTGATAATAAATTCCTAAATCGGCACGGGAAACCGGTTTCGGCTTGACAAAGAGGCTGCTTTTAAAAGCGCATACGGAAAAAAGTGATTATGCGACTCAGTTGCTTAGCCTTCGGGTTCAGTCTTTCTAGAACTAATCAGCCGCCAGTCTAACTTTTACTTGGGTTCGATACGTTGACTGGTGGTTGTCGATCGCTGAAGCTTCCAAATTGCATGAAAACGAATAGATAAGTAACGATTTATCTTTGTTACGCAAGAATCGGTACACAGAACCTTCAAATTCCCATGACAACCGGCGCGTTGTAGCCCGCACTTTGAAATATGATTAACAAATTAGTGAATTGTCGGTAACCTTAGTCACCAGGGCTTTCCACAAACTCGTAACACGAGGTAAGGTCGAAGACTCGAAATAACCGCTTCGATAATGGTTCCGCGTAATCGGTGTTTGCGGTGCCGCTGATTCCATCCCCCTTTTTATCGCCGGATTCGCGATTAAGCCGAAGGAAAAAACATCGGCGCGACGGGGAACGCTTAGGATCGCGCGGACGTTTTTAACCGCTCGCCCGACTATTTTTAATTCACGCTCGGCCTCGCGTGAATCCTCGCGCGACGTATGTACGTGGACACGGTTCAGGAAGAGCGAAAATGATAATTTCGAACGTGCCGTGTCACGGTTCCCGCGCGGGTCGGCGGTCACGTAGATCGTTGCACTTTTACGCGCGCGCCAGTTGCCGCTTGCGATTCAATCGATCACCTTGTCCGCGCCGTTTCACCATTTACGTTTCCCGACTCCGGAACGAACGCCTCCGGAGCCGCTCTCTACGTCGCCGTCGATCAGACGCGATTTCTATACGCGGCGAAGCGTCGATCACTCGCAGCCAGTTTATCCGCTACCCGGCTGTGCGCGAGCGAGCGAGCGAGCGAGCCGTGACGATTGTTTCGGTTACCCGCCAGCTAGTTTACTATCGCTGCATTGCGGATGTTCGAGCGTACATAGCGTATTCGACTGTGGGAAATGAAATCTTCGTGGATTTCTATGTCCTGACGGGAGACGCGAATACGTTGACCTCTTGGCTTCGAATTTTACGAGCGCGCCGGCGAGGTTCGTCTCTGCGGTTACCGAACGGACGAGAGCAATTATGAAATTTTAGTTCTCTTGAATGGCACGTTGAATCTGAGCGATCGAAACGGTTCATAAAGAAAACGAGACTTTGTTTAACAGATCTTCGGTTCACGAACACGACTTTCAGATGAATGTTCACCGTTGATTGCTACGAAAGTAAACCTCGCGTAATCGCGACGTAACCGATTTCGCCGCGTTTTTCTATATCCCCGTTGAATGCCGTCCCTGTTCTATCTCGCTCCCCGAGTTTTTTCCACGCGACGAAGCGCAAGAAAGAAACAGTGTGATTCACCGAGTGCCCCGGGGGACAACGATCGAGAGAACGATCGCAGTTTCGCGAACGCTTACGCACGCACATACGGAATCACGTGCTGGATCGCCTCCGCGGAAAGCCCGTGGTCCTTTCACTTTTCCCGGGTCTCGAGCGCTGTCAAACGGTTCCTTGTAATCCGGCGCACTTTCATTCAGCACGATTTCCCGCATTCTTATCTGGGGCAAGCGTCGCGAGTCGCGACGATCGGGCACGCAGATAAAACCGTGGAAAGGGAAATACCACTTGACGGGCCAGGAGGGAAACGAACGGCCGCGATCTGCGGCCTACGAACCTCGTTTTCGCGGTTGTCCACGCCGAAATCACTTTTCCACGGGGGGGCGGTCACTGCATTTCCCCCTTTTTTTTTCGTAATCCAGCGCGGCTCCCGCGGGTGCGTCGCCGTGGAACGATCTTCAGCGAGACAATGGTCGCAGGAGACAATACCGGAGGCAGCGAACGGCACAAAGACTCGCGGAGAAGAGGAAAGAAGGTGCGCGTTCGGCGACGTTCGCGCGCATACTGCTCACACGGCTGACCGTAATGTCACGTTATCTCCGGAGGTTCCAGACGACTCGGAAAGAGGCACGGGAGTGCGTGCCCTTCCTTTAATGAAACCCGTCGCTGTGTGCGTGCCGCGTGGACGCAAGGTTTCCTCATTGTCAGCAAAAATCGCGCGAGCGCGCGCGCATCCTCCCGCTTTTGTTTACGAACGATTTCGTGGGTGTTGCGAAAGAAACGGCGCTCGCCAAGGTGCCAATTAATTCCACTGCGGTTAATCGACAGCGGCGACTTTTTCTCTCGATGAAAATTTTTCTTCGTGCGCCTTTTCTCGTAATTGACAGCTATCGGCGATTAATCGAAGGGGAAATTGATTGTTACTGGAAAAAATTAAATATTGTTATTGTTCGAAAGGTTTCTCGTTGAAGTTTTTTACTTGTCATTTCTGTTTCGTGGTTTTTGATGTCTAGTTGGATGAATGGAATATTGGTTTTCATTCAAGATGGCGGAGTGTGAAAGAAGACTTTGTAAGAGTATTGAAGGAATGTGCTACACGTTGCCTCGAGGATTTCTTCATCGAATATCAATTTTCTCTCATCCTTGTCGCTTGGCAAAAACGGTGGCAGTTGAAACGGTTCGAGAAGTGTTTCCCGACGCAATGCCTGTTTCTTGCGCCCCACATCGCGCGGATCGTTTTAATAACACCTTATCAAGGAGGTATCAACCGTGAAAGACACTCGAGTATCGATGTCGTGACGAAAGCTTACATATGCTCGCAGCGGAGGATTTCAACGGAGACCGATAAACTTATGGCGGTCCCTGACACGTAACACCGAGCGAAGTGATCGTTGCGATACGTTCTCCACGGTTTACTAACCGTTGACGCTAATATCTGTTTACCATTTGGCTCTATTAACAAATCTACAGTTCCATTGAACCTATACAATCCACTGAAAAATCGCGGCTCTGTGAAATTGAAGAAACCTTCATTTCAAGAAATCCCCGCGTTCCCCAATCGTTTAATAGAACAGCAGCACGCAATGCCCAAGTTTGAACGAAATGGCAGTAAATTCCGTGCTCCAATTATGAAGGGGACACGTAATAGGAATCAAGTGTCTCGAATCGCTACGTTCTCCGAGAGGAACGTTGCCCTCCTCGGCTCCCCCGTGATACAATTCTTCCCCGTGCCGCGCAGCTGTTCACATATTCGCGAAAAGGAGGAACTGAGCAAACGTGGACGCCAGCGTCTGCATATGCGGGCTTTGAGTCATGATTTCTGAATAATCGTCGAAGCGAGTCTTTGTCCCGGGTTCGGTTGCCACGGAAGCACGTTGACGCGTTCCGCGATTCGGCCGCGGAGACGCAGAGGTTTCCGAGCCTGCCTCGAGGCCGCGCGGAGCGTTGTTTCTTGTCACCGATAATAATAACTCAAAAAAATCATCCTCGCTATTTGCATTTCGGGATCGCTCTTATCTAACTTCCGCGAAGAGATCGAACTCCTTCGCCGCTGGGGACGACTGTTCGAATTGTAACGCTCGTTGCCCTACCTAATACGTTGAACGGCGATCGACGGTCAGCCGGCTTTCCATTCCTTCGAGCGAGCCTATTGATCGGGAGTAACTGCGCAGCGAGGATCTACTGCGCAGAACGTGGCGATTCAAAATCCCACTTTCTCCTCAAACAACCGCTGGAACGATACTCCCTTGACGAACAAATACTCTTTCTTTTCGTGCTAATGTATCGTCTCGCGGTAAACTTTGAAGATCGTTCGTCTTCTTCGCCGGAAAGAAAGCTTCGGTACTGTCGATTGTACGGCCAGTTCGGTTTTCTGTGAAAGTATTCGTTTAAAGAAGACTATAGAGACACACAGATAAATTCCGGATTTAAGAAATCGACAGGATAGTTACCAGTAAATTGAATTTGAAGCGTGCACCTCGAGTCGCTGATCTGAAAGGGAATAAGTGGTTTTTTCGAAAACGAAATGGCGCGCGTGGCCAGTCGCGTGGTTCGAACTCCCACGGCGGGGCATCATTAAACAGCTTTATTGTCTGGAATTATTCCCCTACTCCCGTCATAACTAAAGAGACGTGAGTCACGTTCGTTAAGTATGTAACGGGTGGCTGGAGGGTTCGCGGATACTGGAAAGCGAGATAAAGGGCCGGGGATTTAAGATTTCGCCGCGAAGGGATTCGATTACACAGGCGAACCGAGGCATCTCCGGTTTCGCTCGTCTTCGATACCTTTTTCTCGTGAAACCCTTTTACCCGGGAACGGTTTTTCATTCTTCGAGCCGTGCCCTATTCGTTCTCCATTTTACGCGTTTAATCGGTGCGTATTTCGAGACGGCCGCGCTGGTACCATTACTGTTTTATCCGAGGGTAAATATCGATCGGTGGAAAGGGGTTGGATAACAGAGGCACCTTTCAGGGAACAGAGGCTGTACTGCGAGGCGAATTCAAAACGGATCTTCCTTTAAAACCGTCGATCGATTAGCATGCTTCCGATGGATCGCGTTAAGCAAATTCGATGCAGAACGGCACCTTGTTATTTATGGGTCAAGCGCGTGGCATTGATGACTCTGGTTTTGGAAAAATATTTTTTTGATTGATTCATTTGTGTAGAGGAAAGTGGAAAAAGAAGTTTATTCTTTATTGAAAGATCTTTATATTAATCCTGATACGATATAGATGAATATTTAATTTTTATTCTATTTTTTATTTCCTTTTGGTTTGTTAAATTAATGCGTTATAAATGCTTGGAATCTGTTAAGATTATATTAGGTGCCATTCTGTTATGTACCTAGTTTTAGTTTATTAGAATACTTGGAACAGTGTCATTTTTTTAAATTTGAAATGGTAAATAATTTTAGATGAATCTAATTGCCTATTTTAAATAGATGCAAAGTAAAAGATCGACTTAATTATTTAGTAACTATTTCTGTTAAACCTATGTTCACATTATATAGACAAATGTCGAATAAATATTTTCAATTTCAAGGTGTTATGTCTATTATTTGATTTAACGATTCTAATTTATACGTCCTATCGACATAAGGAATTCAACTATCTTAAAATGCAAAAAATATCTTGTGAAATCAAGGTTAGAAAGTGTGTATTATTTTGCAGCGGTAATGGTTGGCCAGCCTGGTTCTCGATAGCGTTTATCACTATACAGCAATGAGAACAGTCTGCTATTTCTATCATTGAACTGTGATAAAGAGAAAGCTCGTGTTAGCTCCTTGAAGGAACAATCATTTAAAGAGTATAAAGTTATTTTATAATGACATAGCGAAATCGGACTGAATTTAAATAAATCACGAGCTTCGGTACGCTTCGCGTCGCATTTACGCTAGTGCGGTCATTCAGTGAAAGGAACAATCAAATTGTGTCAAAAGTAACGAGAGCTTTCATTAAGCCGGAATAATAAAATAGTGATTTGATCTTGATGTTCTGCTGCACTGACAATCATGACGCGTCTAAGAGGCAGAGCCTCTTTAATGGTTATCATAATGATTTGCTTCACTCTGCTGATTGTTATTTATCATATTCTCAATAATGAGGTCGAGGACGTCTCCTCGAACAAATTGAATCCACGATTGAAAATAGAAGAAGTTTATCCATTAAGTGATCTCACAGAGAACCCCCGCAGTATTGCCAAAAAGCAGCAAATAGAAGTTCATATATTGGGTAAATTGAAACGCGGTGGAGGAATGTTGTTCAATGAGCTGAATGGTAAATCGAGCATAAATAATTCTCCCTTATTCAAGGGTCATAAAATTGTGCACCTGGACTTAAAGGGTGCTCCTCCCAAAGTGAGTTATTATAAGTACCTGTTAAAATTGCTCAAAAGATTAGGTGCCACTGGAATACTCATAGAATACGAAGATATGTTTCCTTTCGAAGGAAAGATCCAAGATATCAGTGCAGGCAATAGCTACACTAGAAAGGATATCGAAAGAATTCAACAGATTGCAAGTGAGAACAAGCTTATAGTTATTCCATTAATACAGACCTTTGGTCACATGGAATTTGTACTTAAGTTAGATCAGTACAAAGATTATCGTGAAGTGCCACATTATCCTCAAGCTTTATGCCCTACTCATAATAAAACACTTCCATTAATTTATGAAATGATAGATCAAATTGTAGTTGCACATCCAAATGCAAAACACTTGCACATAGGTGCAGATGAAGTATATCAGATAGGGGAATGCTCCAGATGTTTGGAAACAATGGTCAGAAAACAATGGGGCAAAAAGCAGCTATTCTTAGATCATGTCTCAAAAGTAGCAAGGTACATTAAGGACAAGTATCCGGAGCTTACAATTCTCATGTGGGACGATGAGTTTAGAGACATTTCCCCTCAAGAAATAATTGACAGAGGGTTACATTTAATGGTAGAGCCTGTTATTTGGAAATACACTACAGATCCTGCAGCATCCTTAACAGACCAATTGTGGGAAAGCTATGCATCGGTTTGGAAGGATGTGTGGGTTGCCACAGCTTTTAAGGGTGCTACTTCGCCGGACAGATATTATACTGACATTGCTTACCATATGGAGAATCATCAGCATTGGTTAGAAATTATTTACAAATACTCATCTCAGATCACATTCAAAGGAGTAATCTTAACAGGATGGCAACGGTACGATCACTTTAGCGTACTCTGTGAATTGTTACCCTCTTCTGTGCCATCTTTGGCTATGAATTTAGCTATTCTGCTAGCTCCGGATCTGAGTGGATTCCCAACAGAAGTACCTGCACCTGTGTTGCAAGCACTGCAATGCGAGAGTATTATTTCTTTAAGTTTTCCAGAACCTCAATACGGTTGGACCAAATGCAGCTACCAAGGAGTGTCGATTTACGCGACCATTTTACGACTGCATTCGTTGACACAAGAAGTTACCAAAATGGAGCAGGACAACACGTTCAAGGGATGGTTGAAACCATACAACATAAAGTATTCTTTTTCGAGTCCTATCCACGTAGAACACGCAGTCGCCGATCTGGATAGACATAAAGTAGAGATACTGTACATCGAGAAAGAAATGAGAACGGCCATGGCGGATATATACGACAATTATACCATACAGGAGTGGATAGACACGTATCTCGCTCCATTGAATGATAAATTCACTCAACTGTGGGAAGCTAAAGAAAAGGTATTAGCGAAGAATGTATGGCCGAGGAGACCATTGAAGAAATCAGAGTTATAGTAAGATAAGCGCCAACACTGTGGAAGAATAATCATCATACATACAGATTCTATTCTAATCTATCCACAGCCATTCCGGATCACAGTAGTTGTTCACGATAATTTTTAAGACACGTTCATTTTAAAGCAATATTGAGAAATTCGAGGATGCTCGCGCGAATAGATTAACATAGGACACACTGTATAATAAGAGACTGACGACCATATTAGAGTAAGTAAGGAAACTCTACTGAGATACCCTTGAAGTCTCGGTTTTTTAAAAGAAAGGACGAGCAACAATCGATGGTGTAATTAAAGTCTACCGAAAATTATAATTTTGCACCTTGTACCTTTAATGGATAGAATTGTACTCTATATCTCAACTCGAACGAGTGTTCCGAATCTGTCGACTGCACCGTCCGCAAATTGTCCTCGTCCACCGCGCCGTGGACGAGCGAGTGTCTCTTACTTTTTAACGTTCGAAGAGCAAAATGTACTTTTAATTAGCGATCCAGAAATGAGGCATTAGATCTCGGAATTTCTATGCATCGATTTTTCATTCTTGCTTGGCGGAGCTGAGTCTCCGATGCTGATTTTACGAATGACCGCAGTCTCCATAGCGACGTTCACGGTATTTCACAACGATCCGCGTATACTTGTTTTTACCTGATTCCTATCGGACGCAACGGAAACGCCGACTAATTTATTTCTTATTTATTGGCGTGCACACGCCCTTTTTCAAATGCTTCCAATTCGCAAACTCGCATGTACTTTGTAAAACCAATTGTTCCGAGCATACGCACACAACCGCTCTCTTCTCCCCCACGCCCCCGTTCACTCTTGTTAGCTACCATTGTTCCCTTGTTGATACTCCGTTTATGTTTGCCGCGTACGTTTACGTTCTCCGCAATATGTAACGTTTGCATGATTAGTGCCATTAATAGATAGATTATAGGGAGAGCTCTCCTCGCTAGCGAGCGATTTACGAGAAGGTATAGAAAAAGTTCGACGATCTTCCGTTCACCTTTTTGCGAACAACAGTTTTACTCTATTTAACCGTTGAATTTTTATTCGATTTTACGACATCCGAGGCCGACCGCCGCGCCGGACAATTCCGCCTTGAAGAACAATCGACGGAAACGTCACGCGCGAGCATTGAAATCACCGAAATCGGGGATCGCGGCGTTGCGCGGTTCCGGTCGCTCGACGCATCATATACGTTTCGTCGTACGTACGATACATTTGATATTATTGTAAAAGTATTTTTAACATTGTTACGTCGACTCGCTATTAACAATTAATTGCCACGAGTAGCAAGATTCTATTAATAAATAAATCTGTTTCTAAATCTACTGCGAAGACAGAAGTGGTTCTTTCATTGCGTTTTACCCCCTTCGTATTTCGGTGAATCGCGTCAGGTAACGGTAAGAGATCTATGAAAAATATTCGAACATCTTATGTACATTGCTGACAGTCGCGATCGCGTTGAAACTCCGTGTGCGAAAATAATTCTGTTAGAAATATATTTTACGATTGTTTCTCACTGCAGCACGCAAACCGCCGACTTCGACGCATGTAGATGAGGATAAAAGGGTAACTGGCTCTGCTTTTTCGTCGGTGCTCGTTTCACGACCTTTTGAACGGTACTCATGTCGACCGTGTCACCTATTTCCGCGATAATTATCGGTTTGTGATAATCCTGGTCGGTTTTCGTTAGTCGCACGCCCAAGATTTGCGCCGCCAAGTTGACAATGCACAGGGACACCTGAAACGAAAGCTTTCCTTTAAAAATAATGCGGAAAATACTAGAAAATTTCATTAGCTGAAGAGTTTCTACCGCTTCACCGGTCCTAGCAGACACATCGTGAGACGGGAACCCATTGTCCGCGGCGAATTTGTGGCTTCGATCCCTTTTCACCGACCTCTGATGCTCTATGTCGCATTTGTTGCCGACCACGGCCATCAAAGGTGCCTCGTCGAAGCTGTTGTTCACTTTTCTGATTTTGTCGATCCAATCCTCTAGGATTTCGAAGCTGAAAGTGTTCGTGACGTCGTACACTAACAGAATAATCTGAAAATCACATTCTCGTAAGTGAAGGATTCAACTTTCTGTAGAAATTCATTGACTTCGCAAGTGTTCTTTTAATATTGTCGTCTATGTCTGCTTACGTGAGCATCGAAGACGTATTTGTCCAGCATGTTCCCATGAAGTGCGAGACCGCCGACGTCCCATAGATGCAGATTCACGTTTCTGTAGTAACCGATACTGAGATTCTTCAGGAAGAAGTCGATTCCGGACGTCGGCAGGTATTGCCTGGTGAACTCGTTGTGGCAGAACTTCTGAGCGATGCTCGTCTAAACAGGTACCCTTGATTTTCAATTATCGCGAATCGAAACGGAGGAACCGACGTTAACGTAATATCGTGAAACATCTAAACGCACGTACAAAAGAATCATAAAAAGTTACAGAAACAAAGAGAATGATCTTGCAATCGTGTTTCATAAATTTCAGTGTTGACATCGCATGTTATGCTGACTATCTAATAGCATGTGAATACAGTCACAGTTCCTCGAGACGATCTATGGAACAGCTGCCTTACTCATTAAATACTAAAGAGCTCCTAAGGAGGAGGAACAATTGCCAATGCGTAATCGTTCATGACACGAAGATTCCATTTAACGATTCCATTTAATTTACGGTTGCCTAATTAAAGTTTCATTACTCTTTCAACGGTCCTACTACACTGATTTCCGAATAAAACAGGTACACAGAAGAATCCCAAGAAAAGCAAAGAAACGTTCTATTTTATTCGACAATAACGGGCGGTACCTGTGCGTGTCTAAAATCGTGGCAGTGACCACTTCGCACGAAAGAAATAAATCGATACGTCGCCGCGTCCTTCGAATGCTCGGGCAGACTGAACTTTAAATAAACATGGCAGCCATCCACGCAATTAATAATTCAAAATTCGGACAAAAATTCACCGATCGATCGAGTCTATCCGTGGAAAAGGTGCGACGGTGAACGAACAATCAGAGCGGAAGACTTCCGGGAGGGGAAAATTGACGCGCGCTCGTTCAATGTCGAGGCAGACACTTCGAAACTCACTTTGCCGGACCCGGAATCACCGACCAGGACGATTTTCAGCCTCTTCGCGACCAGCTCCTCCTCGACGTCGGACATTGAGGAAGATCGGGATGGGAGAACGCGGTAAGGTGACGGTCGCCGACGAAACTTCCGGGAATCATGCGAAAACTCGTGGCGGCCACGGCGGTTCCGCGTCGACTATAACGCAACACATAAACGAGGGGCCTGGCATGTGGCTAGAGAATGAAATCGAGCGAATCGACCGACCGGCCGTGGCCAGTGCGACGTCGTCGTCGTCTACACGGCTGCATGAATAAATTAAGCGGACAATCGATACGGCGACGAACACCACCGGTGCGTGGCCGTCTCGTCGATATCGCGAAAGAATTTTTCTTTCTCGCCCTCCCGCCCCCTCGCGTTTCAGCGACGCGATCAATCGAGCGCATCGATCGACGCAATGAATCGTGGCCTCGTGATGGTGTCAAACTGTTCATTCTATTTCTTTTTTTTGTATCTTTCTTCCGTTTTTACAATTGTCAATAAGAACATGGAGATTGTCGAATTCCAAAGAAACTTGCACATTCGAAAGAGAGAGACTCGTCACTTTTAGCTTGAGAACGTTCCGTTCTAGAGTTTCGAAATCTTCGGCGATCGGTGGAGTATGTACAGGTTCAAAAATGGTGTATAAAAATATATATCTTGCATTTTGTTCGTTGTCTTAATACTCGGAATAATGGATTCGTCGTCCGTCGTTGCCGCGTATCCATGATCTGCAATGAAAACGTATCGTTTGAGTCGGGCTCGTGGTAACCGGTCGCGTGCTTCGCATTCGAATGTTTACCTCGTTTATGGATTACTGTTGCCCGGCGATGCGTCACATGGAACACTTTATACATGAATACCCCGCGGTGTATATACAAATATTTATTAGATAAAAAAAGTAACTTCCTTTTAATTGAATATCAGATCTTTGTAATTGGCTAAGAGGTAGTAGTTCGACACTCGGCAGCACGTCGTTGTCCGCACGACCGTCAGTCTGTCGGCACGCTCGAAATTCGCCTTCACGATCTCGTAGTACCTCCCGTCACTGGAACACATCAAACTGATCACCGCACGCGACATCGTTTCTCTTAGCAGCGATTCAAAATTAACTTTGTTACCTCAGACCCAGGCACCGTAACTTGATGCACTTCACGCGAAGTATGTCGATGGCCTTCTGACTCTTGTCGGAAAACCGCAGGTTCTCCGGATCCCAGCGCAGCTCCAGGCGCTCCAGGTTCGGACAGTTGTTGGCAATCCCGTCCATCAATTGATCCACGTGGATATTCACGCCCAGCCTCTCGTTTGTTCCCATCACGAGAATCCTAGGCAAATGAATTATAAAAATAAATGAAGCCATCCAAGGACAAAAATTCAATTTAACGTAGTCCCTTCTCGTAAATAGCTTTATCGTCGTTACCCATCGTTATTCGTCTCTACAAGACTCGAACGCAGAGTATCCTGAACAAAAATGTAGTAGCAGCTAACTTTATCGATCACGGAAACTCACTTGGCGTTGGTTAATATTGGTAGCACGCTCTGCCACAGCTGATCAGTGATATGAGGCATGCCGGACAGGGAGAGTCCCCAAAGTTGATGGCCGTATCTCGACAGAAACTTGTGCAGCGCGTCATCGGTCAGGTTATCCGAGCTGCCTAGGTCCAAAGCGATCAGATTTCGGGGATTGCCCATCTCTGCCCAGGCTTTCAGTACGCTGTCGTTGAATCCGTTCAACTGACCAGCGCTCAGGAAACGAAGTCCCGGGATCCTGGACAGCATATCGATCAGGCAGTCCGTGGACAAGTCAGTCGCTGTGATGTCTAACTCCAGGATACTCGATTTCTCCCACTCCACTTGCATCACGTATTCGCTTTGAAGATCTGCGACAAGAGTTTCTCAGGTATCCATCGAGCTACGTAGCGCATAGCTAGGAGAAAGTTTTAATTGTTCTGATTTTAGATAGATACTTGTGCCCTGCATCAGAAGACACTTCAATCTTCTGCTCCTCTGAAACAGAGTCTTCATCGTCGAACCGGTAACCTTCGAGCAGAAGTTCACAGCTAAACATTCGAGCTGGATGCAGTTCGAGGAGAACGCGTCGATGTGGGAATCGTCGACGAAATTGATCCCGTAGAGGTTGATCACCCTCAAGTTCGGAGTCGCTGATTTCAGCTTATGAACGTTTATGACCTCGTAGATTTCTTCCTCTTCCTCCTCCACCTTTTCGTAGGTACCTGTATAAACGAACGCGATCAGTCCGAGGCCATATATGTTTCTTGAGGCACTTTTTACTCGTAAGCCGAAGGGGATACAAACCTATAAGATGGAGGATCTCCAGACCATTGATGAAGTTGTAGATCTTCCTCATGAAACCTTCCATGAAGATCACCTCCGACAGGCAGATGCACATGTACTTGAGCTTGGTAGGGAAGGCCTGCATCTCCGAGAAATCGTGCAGCTGCATGGCGGTCGAGAAATCGAGCAGCATATGCGTCAAGTTCGGACACTTGTTCGCTAACTCGTGGAGGACGGTGTGCGTGATCAGCTCGATCGGCAGCTCGATATACCTCAACGACGCGCCGAAGCGTGTACTGTCCCAGACAAAACAAGAGCATCGCACCTTAATACTTTTTACCTTCCGCCCGAGTGGATCCGATCAGGAAAAATGCCCGACGCCCGGTTCTGATTTTTCGAAATTTCTACCTCGCCGCCGGTGTTTACAAACTATCTTGGCAAGCGGGACAGAATCTGAGACATATTTCGGGAACCAGCGTTATCTGCCAAAATTCTCGACATTTTTCCCGCGGATGATAGCGGCGGCTAACCTGATCAAGTGCAGCAGATTGTCCAACGAGCTGACGTGCAACCCGCTGATCTCCGGGCGCAGGGACACGTTTTTCCAAAGGCGCGTGTCGTACGCGATCTGCCGCCACCTTTTGCAGACACGTGCGACCCTGCATATTTCGCGATGCGATAGGTAACTGAAGACGTGCAGAATTACCTTGTCGGGCAGCTTCTCTATGGTCTGAAACAGTGGGATTGAATATCAGTGGAGAGATTAGCGCCGTAAACCGCGGACAACGGGGAAAGTACGGGGTGTCTCTGCGAGATTTCTAGCGTCGCTCTTTCACAGGCTCCTCATGGACTCGTTATTAACTGTTCTCGGGTATCTTGCGTCACTTACGGTTCCCGCGAAGCGACTCTTAATGACACCGCCCTCGGAAACGAACATCTGAGACGTTTCCACGGCGATCTGGCCCCAGACGTCCACTCCGCCGAGATCCATCTTGCTGTTTGATCAGTGGCAACCTTGGCAGAAGAGAACCGAAGGGATTCGGGATCGACGATCACTGAACGCGGCCCGATCGATCGGATTCTACTCTCGATTTCGGACTTCGCGATCTCGGAAACCGATCTATCGGAGGACTCGCTCGCGTGTCGCGTGCGCTGACCCGAACTTTGCACCCGCCGCGGATGGTGTTCACGCGATCTCGGCACACCGTCCCGTGGGGAGAAAAATATGAAACCGGGGGCGCAGGGAGCCTCGTGTACCACTCGCTCGTGAAAATCGCGGCGCACGTCGGAATTCGGTGGATACAGAAGTTCCTAAGTCTTCACGGCATTTCTAATCGGATCGCGCGTGCGCGTCGTCCTAAATATAAGCCTTGGAAGACCCGTCTGCGCTTTAATTTTAAACTCGTCACCTGCAGCCAAGGTGCATTTCCCCTGTGTATGCCGTGAAACGTCAAATTCGCGATGATGTTCGTTAACGGCGCAAACGACAGTTTAAAGTCCACGAGTTTCTCCACGGTTCCTTAAAGTCCACGTGATTTTTCGGGAATTTATGGAATCGAACGAGAAGCCTTTGGACGAGACATTTCGAGCATCGAACGTTTGGGAATTTGATTTGGTTTTCCTTTGGTATCGATAACGAACAAGTTTCTTAGACTGATCGAAAAATAATGATTATGATGTTTTTGGATGGGTTATTGAAATTGTTTCTGTGGCGTTACAATTTTTTGCGGGTCACTCGAATGCTCTAGAAATTAGTCGGTCGATTTGAAACTTGGATCTAGTCCGACACGAGACCGAACCCATTCACGTGGGGAATAAGAGATATACGCGAACAAATTAACGTTCCTATAAGAATATAAAACTTTCCAGTAATTAACGGGTTGATAGGGTATCACGCGTGATGTTCTTCAAATAATCGATATATTATTGTTTGGAGATACTACATCGGATCTGAAGTGTTCAGATCAAACAGCAAGGCGGATAAGAGTGGAAGTATGTTTGACGTTCGATGGTCTCTGTAGACTCATTAAACAATACGTATCTTTTTCAAATACTTGTAGTTCCTAGTGAAAACAAACGTAATGGAACGAAGTCGATAGCGTGGCACTTAGAAGGTTTCACTGATTACCGATCAGGTTGCACTTGACTTTTGTAACGGTTACAGCATCGTTGCACATTGTGCAGCGACGTATCATTGAAAATTGTAACGAGAATTGTTTAAAAGAATTGCAAATTGATGATGACACTTTATAAAATACCATGTATCTTCGTTTACCAATTTAGGACATTCTAGAATAGATTAAAATATAAATTCAGCCTGCGCTCAAAGGGTAGCAGCGTTCAATTTTCTCATGTTAATGAAATTCCGTTTTAATTATCGTTAAACAATTACCACACTAGACATGACTCGATGTCGAGCGCCGACCGATATAGCGCTCGTGGCATGTTCCACGTTCAAGTGTCCCCAGATGCTCATTTTGACAATTTAAAATTCTAGCTGGCCCAGAGATGAATCAATCCGAACTGCAGTTAATTAACACAACCACCAGAGGTACGTCACAGGATGCGTGAATCACAACGTCCTTTTGCTCATTTTAATCCGCATTTGAACAAACAACGGGACATGACAATATTGCTCGGAACGCCGCTGATTGACTGGGCCATACTAGGATGCACTTCGAACCGCGTCTGGTTTAATTAGTTATAAATAAAGACAAGCAGTAAGGTAAGCAGACGAGACAAGAATAGGTAGAACCCATTAGTATTCCCAAGCGTCAGGACCTAGAAAAGAAGTCTACCTCGTGGGGCGACGTTCTGCAGCAGTTTTGCAAGACGTTCGCAACGGACTGCAACTCTCCGCGTTCCAAGTGCAACCACCATGACATTAGCCCCGAAGATATAAAAAAAACTAATACCTTAGCGAATTAATTTACCGTGTTCGGGCGTCTAACGATCTCAGTGTTGCCGTCTTCGAAAGTGTTCAGCTGCTGAAGAGCAGCCTCCACGCTGAGGACGTTCCAATTCGACATTCTTCGCAGATCCATGATGACGGTAATGTAAGGATTTGCTCGGCTACTTGTTCGACTGTCAGAAAACTGGAACTCGTAAAAATAAATGTAACCGTGAAGCCAGTGTCATCGACGGATCCCCACGCGGCAGATCGAAATCGCACACTGGCATAACACAACCAGTTCTGGAGGGAAGGAAAATGTGGAGCACACCGCTAAAATGTTGACGACGACAGTCTAAATGCACAATAACACTCGAGCGAGAGATATGCGAGCGTAGGAGATTTCGCGGAAAGATCTATGCGTTCGAACCGACACCGAGATGCGCGATGTAACGCGGCGATCGAGATTCCGTATGTTGCTCGGCGATTCGATTCCTCCCCCGACGAACGAAACTGGAATTACAGTGGTGGTTTCACGGATTTTTAAGGTTTCGTGTCGTGCCGAAGTTACGTAACTGTGTATGGAACGTTTTCCCTTTGTACTTTCTTCCCTCTGTTCCCCTCGTTTCCGCGTTGCAAACGCGATCCCTCGTCGTCCGCCGAAAAATCGACTTACTCGACCATCGTGATGCTCTAGTGCTAAGCGCCCTGCTGGTTCTGGTCCTGAGGTAAAAAATGTATCTAAAATAATCTTAACTTTCTGTCGATTCTTAAAATAGAGCCGCTGGAGTGCTCCGCCACGCAAGGATGAACAGCCAACCAAGGCCCGTTACGTTGTATTGCGCGACTTTTTGAAAATCGGACAGCAAAAAAACCGGCACGAGAGATTGAAACGATTGTTTCACTAAATTGTTCTTTTAGTCGTTAAAAAACCGTGGGAGAATCTTCTCCCACGCGAGCAGGAAAATCAAGACTGTGGCGTAAGCATTGTTTCGCGTCCCTGTCAACTGATAAATATAACTGTCAAGATATTTTTGAAGCATTTAACGTATAAGTTTTATTTAATGATTTCAGAAAAACTCCGGAATGAGTTAGCTTCCAAAGAATATATATTTTTATGGGAAAGTCGGTGATCGATATAGTTAACGAGAGGAAATGATCTCTAATTAATCGAGCCCGCAGTCGTTAGATAGATGCAGCGACCAAAGAAAAGATTTCTTTTTCATTGAAAACGGGGAGAAACTGAATTTTGATTTTTCGATGATACGTCATAAAAATTTTGTAAACGATAAGCGCCGCGTATGCACGACAGTTGTTGAATGTCCTTTTGATTGCAGGCCAAATAGATACCATTTGGCTCAGCGCCATTAGCAATTTGATTAATTAAGGCCACATATATTGTGGGCACAGCGACGTTGGTGGCTTACAGAATCTTGCACGTCGTAAATTTGCTGTACACATAATGTTTACAACAGCATGATTAACACGTTAAACATCACCACCGTCATGAAAACCGTGGATTAATAAATCTGAGATCCCTGAATATTTGCGACATAAAGTTTCAGCACTCTTAGCGCGCTACTTTGATGTGTTCCAAGTCATATAAAAAACATTTAACAATTATTTCTCGGAAAATTTGTTTGCTCGTGTCATGTTTGCGTTTCATCGTGGAAGATGGCGTTATTAGTTCCGTATTACCGACAGTAGATTGACGGATCAAATGCAAACACGGTGTTCTCAAATACGTTTGCTAAGGATTTAGGATACGAATTTTAAGTCTCTATGCAATTACTGCAATCAGAATGGTTCTTTATTTATTTTAATTACATCTTTCCAGTATATTACGTGCACGCTTATAAAATACAGATCCTCCAACGATCATATACATCGATGTCCTCATCGTTGATTGTTTAACCGGATGGAAATCTGAATTTCCATTCAGTCCAGTCAGTATAAAGGAAAATAAAGCGTGTTATCAGTCCAGCTCATTGTTTCCGTTCTTTGTTTTTTCACGAACTTATCGCCAACCGTTATTCCCCGACGATTGTTGTCTTAAGTAAAAGTGTATGTTAATGGCTCATCAAAATGGCGGTCGGGGAAAATACAGTTTCGCGAACAGCGCAACAAGCTCGATGATAAAACACGAAGTACCGTCATTGTCACATCCTTTTCCTGTTCGATTGTCTATTTTAAATTAAATCTGAATGATCATATCTACCGAATTATCGTTGAAATGCCCGATTACCTAGAAATTGATTAGTACGTTCCTTTTTTTATCGCGGCAGCATAGTCATCGAAAGATACTGGCAGATAATTTTGCACAAGTACATCGATAAAATCGTTCGACATGTTCACGAAAAAATATCGTCGTCATTGCGAACCGTTAGACAAAAGAAAAATTTCCGCATAAAAATACAATTATTCCCGATGATTTTCCATTTCAATTTGACGTTTTAATTTCAGGGCAACTGCGAATATCCGCGTGACGCTACAGCAGCGCCCCTATCGATTTCGTTGTTCCACGGCGAAGATTCAATTTTTTTCGCTCGCCGAGAAAGAAACATCTTCGCACATGTGTCGTGAAATAAATAATTTGCAATCTCGTCGGCGAATTGAGCATCAATACGCTCCGAGTTTATCTCGGTTGCCACCGTTTCCCTGTTTTTCTCTGTTGTCCATCGTTCTCCGTCCGCGCATTCTCCCTCTTCCTCGCACTCGCTAACCTAGCGGAGCGCCTTGGTACCTATAAAAGAGGCCGTGTTTGGCCGTAACGCGCATTAACCGTTGCGTCGATGTGGTGAGCGAACGACATTACGTTTTTTTAATTCGTGCTGATAAGGGAACGTAAGAAAACAAAATAAGAACAATAGCAACAGTGCGAGGCTAACCGTCGAGAAGAGTGGTACAGCTGTCCACGTGAACGAGTAGCGAGCGCAAGGTGTAACATAACCAAAAAATACCTCCCACGAGAGGAAGAGGCCAGTCGCAGAGACTCCAAAGTGCGTCGTACGCCGTGCGACATTGTGTAACCGTGTTTATCGTTTCTGACGGTAAAGAGTGGCTGCTTGGAATTTTTCAGTGTCACCCTGCACGTCGAATCATAATCAACAACGAAAAGACGAGGAGGTAAAGGATTCGAAGTATCACGGTTGACAGTCGTCACCTTTAGCCGGTCGTTATTTTCGATGGTATGAGACACCGTCGTGTCAAGAGCGAATCGAATAAACGTGCGAAGAGTCCACGCGACGAAGAGACAGAGAAATAATCGAAGAAGAAAGCGCGGGAGCGCTGACGGCCAAGATCCCTCTAGATCGGAACGCGTGTCCTGAGGATCGTTGTCCGCTTATTTACTGTCATAGGTACGATCACGGTGCCATTGTCCCTGCATTGCGGCGCTATGAAATAACAAGAGGGTTTATTTGATCGACAAAACCGGCGAGAGTAGAGGCGACGACCGCCTGATTCGTAGCGTCCGTGCTCAGTCCTCAGTGTAGGCTAGTCGGGCGTACGGTAGTCGTTGTCTCGACGATCTTACACGACGCTCATTTCCTGTCTGTCGATCTTCTTCACTGAAACGACATTCTTGCCTGAGAGATACTCGACGCCCGAACAACTCGGCTTCGAACCCCGTGAATACGACACGTACGGTTCACGTTCCGAAGGGTGCTGTAAGAAAGAGGTTATCTTCGTATAAACAGACTCACGAGGAGTCGATAAATACGTGGTTTCATTGTATATAATACATTGTGGTTGTTGTCCGTTGGATTTCGATTGATTCTGACAACGCCGATCGGAGAGGCATTAATTTCATCGAAGAAGAGGAAAAAAGGGAAAAGGAAAAGGGATTTTGACGAGCGGAGTATTCGATACAGGACGCGCAAACATGGCGGCAAATATGAGCACAGAATCCCCCGGATTCCTTTATGAAATGGTCACGGAAGATTTATGGATGCCCTGGGAATCCACGGTGGATTCTTTCGAGTACACTCCATGGCTGTTCTCCTTGCTAGGCAGCACTATGATCGGGCTGACCGGTATCTTCCCTCTGTTGGTCATTCCCATCGATGAAGGTGCCGATTTGAAAACTGGAGGTAATTAATTTGTTCACGAACGTTGGCACCGAACGGCCTGTATCTTTTTATCATTTGTATTTAACGACCGTCAGCATGAACCTACATGATTTGAGAGGAATCATATGGTGTTTACTGCTGCTAAGGATTCTGACGATTCCACGACGGGAGGTTATGTGTACGTTTTAAACGCGGGAAATTATTCATAATAGGTTAGTACCGGTGAACCAATCAGAAAAGCTGTTACATCACGGTTATATGTCCGCTTTTAATGGATTGTTTTGTCTTGCTTTATTTGCTGAATCTTTCATTTACGACGAGCGTGTATTATTTTTTTTACAATGAATTTTCTTGGAAACATTTTGTAATATACGCTTTACCGCTGGTGTTCTATACCATCGGGTGGACGATGATTAGAAAATTCACGTTCACTGTACATAAACATGTATATATGCGAAGAAGGCATATCATTTGAGCAGAGCTTTGTCCGTAGAATTACATGTAAAATATTACTCTCCTATTAATTATACGACTGCGAGGACAAGCGATCTCAAAATGTTAGATACTTTGTGAAAACTGTCGCCATGTTTACAATGACCAAATGTGGTTGCTAGACGTATCTGTTTTTCCACATTTACGTATGTTAAAAATTAATAATGTATGTTATGCATACATAAATGCATAGAACATTATGAAGCAAACAATTGCACTGAAATTTAAATTATTTCTAATACTACGCAGTTCTTGCACAACTGTAGTTTTTGTAAATGATGTCATGGACATATGTGTTCGTATAAAAATCCGCACTAGAGCAATTATAATTTGATCGAAGCACTGTTGATTAGTTTCTAAACAACAGTGCAATTACACGCGGAAAAACCGACTCTTAGATAACGCTTACAATTGAGTCGCAATCTTTACCCTTAACGGGTCAGATGACGGGTACACACATATTTTCCTCGTACGATATTAATCGGGTCTTAATCAAATATCCAAATGAAAAAAAACAGATCCACACCATTTACTCTTCTCGACCAAGTTCTGTATTCATATTGAAGCAGACTTAAGTTTGTTAATTTAAATAATTTAAGTCAATTTAGTCACAATTATGCGTAGAATGTCAACCGAAATGGTACGATTACGAATGTAAATATTTTCGCGTTAGTGTCCGCTATAATTATTCCAAGGTCGTAGATAGTCAATTTTTACATCATTCCTTCTCGGAAATTGCCCAAGTAGAATTTAAATATACATAAAATCATTGAAATACATTAATCCCTAAAATTCGTTAAATCATTAAATATACAGGAAACGATAAATGGCAAAAATTAAACATGTTGCGAGTATCATATTATCATCGTTTCACGAGATCAGATTTACCACGACAAAATCGTGCAGAACTGACATTCTAAGCTGAAGACCGTGTCGATGCTCGATTAGACCGGTATAGTTCTCGGCGATTCTCCACGCGGCACCTTGCGCAACAGGATACGATCTTGTGCCACGAGTTCACTAGAAATCCGTGAACAATTGTTGCCAGCCTTTTTCCTAGGAAAAAAAGTGCGTCAACTTATTGCAACTTTCCCCTTGAACTGCAATAGGCGACCCGTTTACGACATCTTTCTCCGAAGTGTTTCAGATCGCTTCTAAGCAAACATATTTTTACTCGCGCCGTGTACACCGGTCGCCCTTCCGTTTCTTTTTTCCTCATTTCAACGATCGATGCATAGGACGCGGCATTGTCCGAGTAACACCGTGGTTCGGAGGCGAGTCGGGATAAAAATAATGATGTGTTATTACGTCAGATAGGATCCACGGACGCTTAAAAAGAAACTCGTTCGGCTACGCGGAATGATTCTGCTGCGCACATCGGTCTACCCGTCGCCAGCCGTTGCCAACCATTTCTCTGTAAGCATATTCTTATCTTCAAGAAAGAATTGCTCCGAATCAAGGTATAGTTGTAGGAAATTCAATGTAACTGCCGTTCGTCGTTATATTAGACGATGACGCAGGAAGGATTCCAAGGAAGAAGCTTTATCGAAGCTTTCCCTGATACTTTTATGGCGCTCATAACAGTCGGTTGATGTTGCAGATAAACAATCGTACCTAGAAGAGGGGAGTACAATTGAAAATCCTATCTAATCGCGCAGGAAAATAGTCTCGAGGGAAATGTAAAATTCTCGAGTAAGATTAACTTTTATTGGATGGTTGAGACCAACGCTGCTGGGAAGTGGCTCTCTCCACGTTGGCTACTTGCCCCCTCCACCGTTCTTTCTTCTGTTTACTCGGGGAAACCTAATGGCGTATACTTTGGTGGTCGGGCATGGCGAAGTTGTAAAATTAGACCCCGAAGACCGGCGCCTATTTTTGCGAGGAAACCCAGGCACTTTATGGGCCTTAACACGGTCAGACCTGTATATGAAAAATTATTTTTGGACTGAATCTACTGAGGACTTGAATTGAAACATTCTTGCAGCCCTACTTGAACTTGGAGACTCCGCTTAAATTTCTAAGAATAAAGTTGGCTCCAAGATGTAAAACTTATTTCTGTGGTCGGCCAAATAATTTTACAAGTTCGTCGCTCCTCTTTCACCGGTTACACGCTTTCTATGATCTTCATCGATGCTCGTTCCGCGCCAATGCGATCGAGCAAGGTCGTGGAACTCGTTTCCCAGCGGGACACGTAACAATGGAATTCGTGGAAAGCAAGAGGACATGCAAATATAATTCCCTACGCATCGGGATGTAAACCGGATTTAGGCGCGACATAACATACACAGGGTGTTCTGATTTAACGGTATAATATTGAATACGTTTGTCTCAATGCGAAGCGGGTCTTTTGTCTTTTGTCTACTGCGACGCGAAACGTTCATTCTGGAGCTACTTCAGCTACTCGACACCCGCGATTCTATGGTTAACCTTTTGTAATAGGATTATATAGTTTTCTGTACAGCACAACGCGTTGCCAAGCCGGTGAACAGAATTTTACGGGGCGTCGCAGAGAACTATCAAGTGCTAGCTTCTGGTGATACATAATGCAACAATCGTTTAGAATTCGCTGTGCATGATAGAAGAGGAAAGAACGCAATAGTCAAGCGTCGGTCAAACGTTCGTAACACCACCGCACTAAATAATTGCTGGAAAACTAGGAAACTCCGCGCCGGCCAGCGAAACAAGCGTAGTTAGAGTTAGCGCGTGTCGATACCGTGCCGCGACATGCCAAACCCCGAAGGTCGTGGAACTTGTTGGACACAATGCGGAATACGAATGAAATGTTTAGTTGTCCCGTAGGTGGAACGTGCACGCGGTATACGTAACATCGTTTCCAACGACACCTGCGAATTCAAGGGTATCGTTTGTATTCCGCGATGTTCCACGACTTTCGCCGGAAGCACAGATTTCTTTCGCATGGGCAGGGAATTATTGTGAGAATTATCGTCGCGTGTAGCTCGGTCACGGAACGAGTTTCTGTTAATTACCGAACAAACTAATGGGGAAACGATTCCGGTGGACAATGAACTATGAGCCGTTTCTTCGTCCATTATTACATCGAATTCATTTGCTCTTTGGATCAGTGAGACAGCGGTTTCCTGTTGACGCGCGCAACGCACGATAGTCGCGGAACGTCGCACGAAACTTCGTATTTGACTGTTATCGTTCACGGTGCAGCTAACCGTTGTGTAACGCGCAGATATTGCACACAATTTTGTAACGGAGCGACGAAATCTTGTTAACGCGACACGCGCGTGGGTCATTGTATCAGGTGGTAATATAAATACGTTCGTCTGCGAATACGACCGCGTTCTAATTCTAAGAATTTAATTATAATTACAATTGCGCAGTGTCTATACCGAACGGGAAGTCGCTTATGGCCAATCTAAATTCAACATTGCTGTTTCGCCGCTTCGCGAAACTAATAATACAACGAAAACGTTGAATCCGAACGTAATTGTATTGCGACCGAATATTCCTCTGGAGATTCCCTCGCTGCATGCACGCGGCGAGGAGCATCGACGAGATTACAACAAGATGGCTGACGAGTGACGCTAGCGGGAAAGGGAGGCAAAACTTAGTGGATCGTGGGAAGGAATGGAAGAAGGTCGACAGTGATCCTCATCCTTTTTCCCGGGGTGTCCCAACGGCCGACGTTCATCCGTCGTTTTCAAAGGAACTCCCCTCGCGGAATGCTCGGTTAATGTTCGTCCAAGGTGCGGATACTGCACCTGGCCGACCCACTCGCTTACACCTGGAGGCGAGGTGTGAAAACCCCGAAGTGAATCGATACACGTCGCAGTTTTCGCGTCGGCCCGCCGAAATCCTCACCGGCGAAAACGCTCACGGCGGTTTTCACTTTTACATTCCGCGGATTGTCCCGCGTTTCGCAGGAAATCCGGCGATCCCCGCGACGGTTCTATGTCGCGATTCGGAATTCACGGTTTCGACGGCGATCAATAGCGGCACGCAGGCCATTCGAATGGTGAATTGCATCGGAAGCGCGGCTGCTAGATCCGATTTAAATCCACCGCCGCGACTAATTCTCCAAATGACGATTCCCCTTTTTTCCGTTCACACCGTTTCCCATTTATTTTTTCCCGCTGGCTCTCTCCGTCTCCCTGTTTCCCCGGGTTTTGCAAGTCAAACCAGCTCCCCGGGCCTCTATCTAGACACGCAGATCCTCCTATTGCTTATTCCTCGCCGGTAGCAGCCGCTGCAGCGCGCGTTGGTCGTCGACCTTCTTTGAGAACAGGCTTCTCCCGTTCTTTTTCTTCGGTCGCGTTTCGCTCGGGCCCGAACCAACAAGAGATTAAAAGGTGTCCCGTTTGCGTTGCGAAACACCGATATCTCGGTGATGCAAGGTTGCGCGATTTCATTTTTCGCGATGCAACGGGCCTGCAGCCCCGCGCCTGCATACCGATGCCAACCTCTCGTCGATCCGCCGACTGATTGACGGCTTTCTTGTAGATCGTTAACCCGATAGATCGTTGGCTCGTTCTTCGGTTGGACTATGACTAGTATCTTACATTTTCTCGCGATTAAAATCTCCTTTCAACATACTTTCTTCCGAATAAGGTGACTTGCACGGCACTGCCTTTAATATTAATTTAGTCCTCGGCTGTTCTTTAAGCCAGTCACGTTCTTATTTCATTAACACGGCGGTTCTTCGGACTTCATCGATCGCGCTCTTATTTTTTCAAGAAGATTCCTGCTTCGTTATTAGATCGTGAAATTTTATTAAAACGTTGACTTTTAGAGACCATTTCGCTGAACTTGGGGATCGAATGGAACTCCCGTTTATCCACTGAAGGTTTTATCTAGGTCTGAACAACGTAAAAGTCATAGTTTCAATTGAATATTCCGTTGTACCGAGTTGTAAGTGATTGCATCTATTGTGGCTGGTTCACTGCGCAACAGATATTATTAGCTGTTCCAAGAAACGTTCTTAGCTCATTCTCGTCCTATGCGATCAATTTCTTAATTCGTCTCTTCGGGTCCTTCTAGCTTTCTCTTTTATATAGTCTCCTCCTAGAAGACGTACACACTGTTCCCCGAAGCTGAAACGTTCCAAACGATTCCCTTTGAATGTCACGAGAGAAACACGCTCGACGCGAGACGGCTCGCCTGTGGAAATTCTGGAAGCGATCGCGCGAACGATGCGTTAAATTACGGTATCTGCCGGCCTATCACGCCAACGACTGTTCTCGAATGAATCCATTATCAAGCCAGTCCTCGGCGTTCCGCCCACGAGCATTATCACGACGAGACGCGGTCTCCATTTCTTTTAAGACCCATCCGATCCCATTGCGGCCGCATTCGACTTTAACTCGCCGCCATTTGGGTATCATTCCGTTGCCGGCTGCGCGCCGAAACGTGCATCTAAAGAGTTTCTTCGTGTGCACTCGGGACACGCCAACCGATCGATTTTTCTATTTTAAAAGCGGCCGATCATCTAGCCGCCGTGGAAAGATTTTTGTACGGTTGATGTCTGCGGAAATACATTATCGAATACCTTAAACTCTGTCTTGACCTAGTTGCAACTTTCAATTTCTTCCTATTTCAGTGAGATTCCCTTACAATTTGAGAATTACTCCATTCGTTCATCAAATTTCCACCATCACTCGGTGTATATATCATTTATGTATATTATGGAAAAAATGTATTTACCTAAATCGAAACGGAGGAACTTCAGCTGAGATATTTTTCGTTGAAAACGGCGGGAAGTTGAATTTTATCAGCGATTCAGATACCGTATCAATGTTCATTTCAATTATTTTTGGTCGATCCGATAATCAAGCCGTGGGCTATGATAAAATCAATTTTTAACGCGTTAAAAGTCGACGCCGATGCAATCGCTGCACAAGAAAGACAACGTTTTCATCGAATTAAAGCTACGAGCAGCGTTATTGAAAGTAATTACTCTTTTAGTATCGGACGTGGTGAACTTCAAACTGTTTTAAATTCGTTGAATATCTTAGTATAAATCTAACTTTCTAGCTTGTAATGAAACATTGTATAATCCGTCTGCTTCCACGTGGCCGCGGAGAAGTCGATTTGCGATACAAGTCCTGCATTAAACCTCGGTCGTAGCGGAATTAAGGTATCCGTGGGTTAGCGGTCAACGCGTTCGTATCGATAAAGCGTAATTTTAAGGATTGCTCGAGGGAATTCCAGCAATTGAAACAGAAAAAGAGACCACCGCGATAGCGCGCCACACAATCCATTCGATTATAGAACACTCGAACGACACCGCTTCCAGATTATGTAGAAAGTTTGCGCAGCTTCTCGGATAGTAATAGATAATCAGCCGTCCAACGCGATTGTATCGCGAGACAGTTACTTTTCGTTGTACATCGATATCTGCATATTCGGCGGGCTAATTTCACAGGAATTTATCACGTGTCGTCGAGAACAATGCAGTCGTTATACACTAATGACTGCGTAATTAAACGTTAAACCCGTTCCCTGTAATTTCCCTGGTAACTTCTTTTTCCGTTGCCACATGTATTAGCGTATTCATTGTTCTTTATCGAGCTAGTTAACGTTGTTTTTCATTAAAAAATAAATTGATGATTAAGTCAATCTCGCGGCGATCTTCCCCAACTATCTGATGTGACGTCCGCGATAAGCAACAATTCGAAAATAACCAAAACAATGAACATTGATACGGTATCTACATTCTTGATAACATTGTACTTTCAACCTGCCATGTTCTGCAATTATATTTCAGAGAAATATTATACAGTAGAATTCCTCGATTTGCAAACGATTCGTGTAAATACAATCTACATCTATTGATCATCTATTACAAGAAACGATCTACGTTTAATAATACAATTTTTTCTATCATTAGCTTCATGAAGCAGTGATACAGCGCTGAATTTCAATTAAGCAAACTTTAAATAGTAACACAAATACACTATGTATTCATATTCCTTGAATAGATTTCCATAGATTACAGAAACTGAAATGGTATCGACCTCTTTATTCCGTTGGAGGCAGTGATTTTAAATGAAAAATATCTTTTCTTACTAAAATCGCAACACAATTTCCCTACACACAAATCTGCAATTTCTCTACTGCAACTTTCTTTCCAAACACGTTCTTCTGCGCGAAAGCGTCCTAACGCAATCGTAGACGGTGCCCGACAGCTTGTCACACAGTTAGTATCGTTAGGAATTATTCGCGGCGAAGTGAAAATGTAATTCTCGTCTTCATTGATTCCTTATTTATCCAGTTCACCGATGCGCCATATACATCTGCAATTCAAAGTCTCCTCCGCAGACAAGAAACCAGGATTCTCAGTGAACGTCGTCAGGCTTGATCACATTTTAATGATACTTAATCACCCGCTCGATCGCCGGATACCGTTCGCTGCAATCGAAACAAGATATTTCGTCATGGACGAGAAGAAAAAAAAACAACAACGGAATAGGAAACAAAGAGCGATCTACAAATGGACGCGAGAATTGCGAAGCGGGTCTGGCGGACGCGCGGCACGCGCTGATTCCCGAGGAAACGGGGCGGCGAGAGAGCGTGTCACAGAAATAATAATTCCGACGTGGAACGGCTGCTTTCCGCGATTCGCTAATTTATTATCGCGCTACGGCGCCTCGGGAGGTGCTCGTTTACGACGATAACACGGATTTATCGTTCGCCGCGCATCGCGAAACACGTTGCCTCTCGTGCTCCGAATTTCTATTTCTCGGCGGTATTAAACAGTCTAAAAACATCTTCGAGTTGAACGTTATTTATTAACTCTACGGCGTTTTGCGGGTCTATTTAACTCAATCACGGTTTCATTTTCTCAGCACTATTTTCATCGTTTCGTTTTCTTACTGTTTTTAAATTTCAGGATAGAGCAGGAAACTTGTAGCTAGACTACAACTGATCCTCGTTTTACGCGAATGAACATCGTATAAATAGAGTCCGCCGGTACAAGAGAAAGCAAAATATTGGAAAGAAAAGCTGGTATCGTTTCAGAAATACATATTTATCTCACATAGCCAAGCAAAAGGAATAATATTTCAGAGAACTCAAATCAAGCATAAAAATTGCCGCATAATCTGATTTACTGTGTAAATTCAGGACGGAGTGTATGCATTTCCACTTTTTTTAGCAATATGTCGAATGCACAGAGAAATCGAGGACCACGTCAGGGTTCACTTCGTACGATCGCATCGAAGATTGGCAACAATGGAGATTGTGCGTTAATAGTAGCCATTTAATAATCCGTTCCGTGAATGTGGATCAAGGTCCGCCGAGAAACCGTATTGTCCGCGCCGTTAGTCGTTAGAATTTTTCCGAAAACATTGCATCACTCGTTTCTCGTGTTTTCCCGCGGGCGGATCAGTGACTAACGCACGCAGGAGTCATTGATAAAGCCGGCTAGGCGTTTCCTGAATAAGATTCAGTCGGATCGTCGCGTCGCGACACGCGGCGAAACGATTTCTTCTCCGGTCGTTTCGAGTCCGGCGTGTTTACGTAACTCGCTAACCATCGTTCGATCAATCGGTAGATAATATGTTACAATGTGTTGTTATCGATGGCGATCTGTAATTATTGCTACGTTGACGCAGCCAGATAAACTCTGATTCGAAACGATGCGGATCAAAACGATTGTGTGCCGAGCTCTCGGCTACCACCTGTGATTGCATTAGGGTGCTTTCACACAGAGGGACAAGTATGAAAAGAAACTTACAACGGAGAAATTGCAGATTTGCTCGTTTATCGAAATTCTTTTAACGTGTGGAATGTATCTAGGAAAATTGTATTACGAGTTTTAACGAAAGGTCTTCTTCATCTAAAATTAGACTACTACCCCTAACAGAAAAAAGAGTTTCGATTTCAGTTTATATAATCCACGGAAATTTATTGAATATCGATACAAATACATACTGTGTTTATGTTACTGTTTAATTTTTGATCAATTCAAATTCAGCACCATTACTTCACTGCTCCATGAAACTACATACAGAAATGTTGAATATATCCGAACATATTTACGTTACGGTCCAATATATTTCCGACAGATCTCCCCGGATCGTTTCAAATGATCAGAGGAAGAATTAATGAAGCAATTTAATGCGAACGCAGTTTTCATCCCTCAAACGATTCCCAATCATTCGGAAAAGGAGCACGGGGCGTAAGCTTCTCAGTTGAAACACGGCTGGAGTGCGGGCCGAAGATATCGGACCGGTTGAATCGTACTTTAACATGGTCAGTGATCCTGGAGCGCAAAGAAATCAACCGACGGTGAAATTGTTGCCGTCGCGGGGAATTTATCGGCACGCGGCATGCGGGAGGAATCTATCGGCTCGATATATTATCATTGTCGCGTGGTGCGACGCTCGTAACTTAAGATTAAAGACGAAATTTCTCGTCTGCGAACCGATTATTACTCGTTCCATCAATTCCCCGCCTACATCTTCACCTTTTCCGAACAGTAAATGCTTCCTCCAATGATACTAGATAGAAATACTTGCACTGCGACGGTTTTAAATATTCAATCGACACGGTTACGTTTGTAACGCTTCAAACGCATCAACCCTTACCTGTCGAATTTTCTTTGTAAACAGTGTTATTCGTAAACTTCGAATCAAGTATTAATCTAGTTTCCATTTGCTTATGAGCATGAAATTATTATTCAACGCTTAATAACAAAAGCTTGTCGTTTGTATAGAAACACCAAACTGTAGTCCTAGATATAAAGAAGTTAGTAAGGTTTAGTATTGTGTGTGTCGCAGGCTCTACGATTAAGGAGTTAAGAAGCCCCTTCTGTTGCTCGACTAATACAATAACCTGAAAGAAGCAAGTCTTTACCGGTGATTATACTTGAAATTTCGAGCACGTAGGATTGAAAAGTAGTTCGCGCAAGAACTTTGAGATCCTTGCCTCACGGTCAATTAACAGCTACCGCAGCCTCGCGACTCACGGACGAAATCCTGAGCGCTTTTAGAAGATCCTCGTTTAACTTTTTGCCATCGTTAATCCGACGAAACGAATTCCGGTTACCCAATTTCCAACGGTGTTACGTAACGTTCCGTTGATCCGTTATAACAGGTTCCCCGTATATTTCTGTTGCAGATAACGCCGGCACGCTGAAAATACTGCTGAGCTTCGCAGTCGGCGGCCTTCTGGGCGACGTTTTCCTGCATCTTCTACCGGAAGCATGGGCGAACAGCTCGTTCAAAACAGGTGAGCGGATTGTCTAGGTCGGCGTCTCGACGGTTCACCTCGAGATGGAATTCGATTGAAGCGAACGGTGTATGCTGCTCGCGGGTCACCGATCAAAATATCGACATGTGACAACGGAGGCGTTTATTTCGTTAGAAACATGACTCACCTGTGATAACGGATGAAACAGCGACGAGAATGATCTTCGAACGGAATCTCGTTCACTTTTCATCGACGTTTTACACGCTGGAAATAATACATTTCGCATGCGTATCGACGTTTTCGCTAGTATCGAAGTTTTTCTTTCCCTTGCCGGAAGCGGCGTATTTTATATTTGCGCGCAATCTGGCAGATTATTTATCAGTGGACTCTGGATGTTTATGAAGTAAAGATAAATGAATCATACATCATCGTTAACCCTTTACACCCGGAAGTTTTTCACATTCTTTGAAACGAACTGAATTAGAGGTTGTACACAAGTTAACAAACAAAGTTCTTACTTCAATATTTCACGTATTTATGGGTTACACGAAGCTTAACGTTGTATGTAAGACGTTATGATTTTGGTATATCAAATCAATTTACTGAGAAACACCTCGTGCGGTTATCGTTATTTCTGTAAGCTGATTAATTGCCAAAAATCAATGAACAATAATACTGAATATGTCTGTGGCGGTATCAGATATCATAATTGCAGCAATTGTCGCAACGGATGCGTCAGGGACAGCGAAAGTAATTTCTCTTGTTTCCTCTATTTAAAAAGTCTGATTCACAAATGCATTTATCTTTTGTTCACCGATCACTATAACCCTACTTCCCAGAAGCGAGACGCAACGTTCTACCCATTCGCAGATGTCACCACCATGTTGCAATTTCTTTGTTTACATACTGGTTACTAGTTAGGTGACAAAAAGACATGCGAGATGTGACGCGAAGGCGATGGGTCGAGGGGTCAGAGTGCAATCTTGAGTGATTTCCAAGCGTCTATAGGAGGAACCTCGTGCCATTGAAAGAAAAAAGATGAGGTTCAAAGTTTGCAGACAGCTTGCACAATTACATCGATCGATCCTCGTGGTCTTGTATACGAAGCAAAAACGCTATGGATCACGTTCGATCGAACGTATGCGCGTTACGCGATGAACTTCTGATTTTTCGTAACCTTCGCGGCACACGAAGGCGAGGCCACTTTGTTGCCGTTTTAATTGTTTCAACCCCATCGACCTTTTCTACCGGTTCCCAATTGTAACTTCAATCTGCTGGAACAGCATTCGACGTATGTAAATTGTTTCCGCTGTAAAACTTCCGATAGTTTAATCGGTAAATTCAATCGATCGGAGACTAAAGGCAACGTTCCAATGCGTATCGCAAGGATTTCCATTGGTTTCCGCCGACCGAACAGCCATTTCGATTCCTTTCCAATCGAATCTCGTTCACCTGATTTGTGCTCGGCGTTTAAGCGAAACGGCAATTCATCGTATTAAATCTATGCTGAACGAGACTTGGACATTGCCTCGCAGCATCCTCGCTCGCTTTGTAAACGGTTCAAGCAACAGTTACAAACCTCCATTGTGCATCAGTTGCGGATTTCAATTGCCGGCTGTCCTCTCCTGAATTAAACCGTCTCGGACCTAGTCCACCTACGATTCCCGAATTACCATCTCGCGATTGCCTCCCCACCAAGGCAGCTCTCGGTCCCCCGAGGCGAATTAATCGCCACGAAACAGGAAATTCGATTCCCACGGGATTGAACGAGGAATCCTTTCTGTTTCAGGTACGGATTCCGGTCATCCGTCGATGGGCTGCGGCCTCTGGGTGCTCAGTGGTTTTCTAGTATTTGTCATTGTGGAGAAGCTGTTCAGCTTCGAGCAAGATCCCGAGGCTGAAGAGGAACCCGAATCGTCGAAGGAGGATGAACTGAGTGACGAGGCCACTATCGAAGCGGAGAAAGAAATGGAGAACAATAATTGCATTATGATGGTGAACGGCAACCCGAAGAATGGGATTTCGAAGCGATACTCTAACACGGACATCCAGAAAGCTATCGACGAGGTAATTAAACGTTGTTACATTGTGAATGTTAGTGAATTTCATTCGTGGAACTTGTAAGTAAAAGTTTTCTTAGGGGTGAAGTAACACGCGGACGATGGACTTTTCAGTTTCAGCCATTCTTGGAGAAGAAGAACGGGTACTCTCATCTATCCGACGAATACAAGAATTCCCATAACAAGAACGGTTTTGTCATTAACGGCGTTAAGCCGGTGCTGATGTGCAATGAATTTTCCAATACTCAAACGCTGACCAAGATCAATAGCTTCTCTGCTGAAGTCTCGGACACCTGCTCAGATAAACAGAAATTGGTCACAGCTAATGCGCCCACCGTTAAAAAGACTGTTAAGAAGGAGAAAGCGAAGCATATAACTGGATACTTGAACCTGATGGCTAACGTGATTGACAACTTCACTCATGGTCTCGCGATCGGTGGTTCCTTCCTTGTGTCCCTCCGTTTGGGGGTGCTTACCACCTTCGCCATACTCATCCATGAGATACCCCACGAAGTCGGTGATTTCGCTATTCTGCTACGTAGCGGATTCAACCGGTGGGATGCTGCGCGGGCGCAGCTCGTTACTGCTTCCGGTGGCATTTTCGGTGCCATGTCTGCGGTGATCTTTTCTGGTGGTGAAGTAGGTACGTTCTGTGCTGCATTGCAATCTATTTCTGTAAATTTAGATCTTTCTTAATCAATGGAAATTTAAGTAATAGAATTAATGGAAAGATTTTTCTTATTAAGTCTCGGTAGATTTAATATTAAAATTGTTAGTTTTATAAAGTGACTATGTATTGCGTATATAATCTGTTAAGTACTCCGTGTGGTGTAGAGTGATAAGGTTTATTTAAAAATATCAATTTCGTTTCAGGAGCGAAGACGAGTTGGATATTACCCTTCACGGCCGGTGGTTTTCTTCATATTGGCATGGTAACCATCCTCCCAGAGCTCCTTAAAGAATCTAGTCCTAAAGAATCATTGAAGCAACTCACCGCGTTACTCTTAGGTGTACTCGTGATGGCGATTTTAACGATTCTTTGCGACTAGGGTGATGTCATGTCTTTTTATTTTTATTTTAAGCACCGTTAAGTTTAGTCTACCTTGTTTTGCGCGTACCGAGAGCAGTTTTCTTCGTGTTAATGCTCGGTACGCGTCAAAACGGTAATTCAAGTTGCCATATGAAAGAACCGTTATTCTTTGTAATACTTGTTGCTCAATAGAAATGAGTCTACATCTGGAGACAGTGAAAAAAATGAGGAATGATGATTAAGGACTGATTAAATTTATACCTAAATTGCGTAACGTTGTGTACTGAAATTCATTTCGAAGTAGAATTCGCAAATGTATCTATTCAAAATTGTTCACTACCGACTTCTCTTTTTCACTAGGTCCCATGTTGATTTAGAATTTCTCTGTGATCATGTTGAACAGTTATTATAATTTCACTCGAATACCGTGTAGCTAGTACGTTTACGGTCTACAATTTCCATTTTCCGATAAACATTTTGCGCTTGTTTACAACCAAAAGTGGAAAAGAAAATTGAGAGGAAGAGTATTTGTACGAATTACGTTTATATTTTTCGAACGTTTATCGGGAAAGTTGTATTCTCTGGAAGTTCGGTATTATCGATTTACATTAATACTTTTAAGAGTGATTGTTAGAAACCTGACATAGTTTATGCACACGAGAATGTACGTATGTTCCTCTGTAAAGTATTAGTGAAACGAGTTGTTTGCAAGAAAAGCCATTCCGTCTCTGAAAGTATCGACGCACTTAAAACTGTCGTGATGTGGAAGTTACACGCGCGAAATCAATATTTGACGTATGACTTTCACGTTATGAAATCAAATAATTGTGTACATAATGTTTATACTTCTTTGTTTACTGTATAAAAAAAAGAAACAGACAAGTTGAAAATTCATACTAAGAATTTCTATACGCAGCGTGCCTGCTCCGAAGGATGTATATTTAAGTTCCTGCGAGGTTATTGTATATAACGTTATTAGATTTACCTATTTTACCGTAGGAGTAACAAGAAAGGAGATTATTATTGCGAATGTAAAGGAAAGGAATGAAATTTATACATTACAAAAGCAACAATTGGCAAGAAACGTTATGTAAAGAGTCTGTAAAAATCGATATGTAGATATAGATTTGCTGTGTTTAATAAAATTCGAGAGATTATGTAAAATTCATGCATTTTAGAGACGTTATGAGATTATGCTTTAATCG